GGGAATGACGCGGGGAAGCAATGGCATCTCTGTGCTCATCGTCAAAGCGCTTTTGTTGTTGCATGAGCGCTGCACTCGGGGATTTGAGGGAGAGGGAGAGGGCGTTCATTCGGTGCACCTTTTCTTCTCTTTTCGTTCCCGTTTTATTTATCCCCGCTTCGCACCCTTTTAGCTGCTCTGGTCTGAGTTGCTTTCGTGCGCTTTCGCCGCCTGACCGGGACGCGATCAAAAGTGCTACCGGGAGTGTTGCCGTCCCTTCGCTCTCTGGCTGCCGCTTGCCGTGCTGCAGGTGCACCTCGCCCCGCCCTGCCCCGCCCCACCTTGCCCCACCCCACCACGTCCCGCTACGATACTGCGCCCCAAAATTAACTTCTAATCTTGATGAAAAAGGTTCGGAACGAGGGCGGATAAGGCGTCTCCCTCCCCTCATACCTCCCCCCCCCCCCTCTCTCTCTCTCGCTCGCTCTCTCCGTCTCTCTCTCCGTCTCTCTTTCTCTCTCGCTCACTCACTGGCTCACCTGCGCAGCCGAGGCTCTCCTGGATTAAATGTTCGACTCGGCCCGTTCTGCTCGGCGCCCCAGGAGCTCGCCCCAGTTCGCGCTGTACTGCCACGCATTCTCTGTCTCTGTCTGTCTGTCTGCCTGTCTATCTGTCTGTCTTTCTGTCTGTCTCTGTCTGTCCCTGTCTCCACACTGATAAACAAAGTGTGAAATTAGCGTGCACATGTATGGAAGTGATCAACACAACGCTGAAAACTTTTAAGTGTTTGACTTGGTATTTGCACACTAAAACGTGTTTACCAGTAAAGTTGAACACTTAAAAGCGTGCAATTTTGGAGGTTTGCCATCAAGCTTTGGACACTTTCAAGTGTTCAAATTTACCGTAGAACACTTGTAACTATTCAAAATTCCCGTCCAACCCCTACGAGCGTGCACTATCGAGTAGAACACTACCAATGTGTACGCGAGTTGCACACTTTATTCGTCAGTGCACGAGCACGAGATACAACACTGAGTGTTTCAAACTCATCGGGAAGACTATGAGAGATTTGATCATGTTGGCGCAATCCACATCGTTCTCTTATCTTCTTCCATACGGCGCGATCCGGCCAGGAAGGGAAAACTATTGGGGGAGGTGGCGGGGGGGCCGGGGGGCTGCTTAGACAGGCTGTTACCCGGTCCGGCAGCCCGGGCCGGGCCCGGGGGCCTGGCGGCTTTAACGGCGCACTAACTCTGGTCCCGGCCCGCCCCCGCCGGCCCTGCCAGCCCGGGTGACAACGCCCGGAAGTGCCCGGAAAGGACGGACTGAGCCTCGAGTGCTGAATCGATCCGTGTAACTTAAGCCCCACTATCAGCAGCGGAGTTTAGCGGGGCGCCGTCGTCTGCCAGAGGGCCCTGGAGCGAGGCTGGGGACGCTGGAAGAGCTGCTCAGCAACAAGTCTGATGAGCGAGCGCCCGCAGCTCAACCTGGGCACGTGGAGGAGGACTGCTGGGAAATTGGGGTGATGCTCCTGGAGAAGCAGAGAGAGGGAATGCTGGAGAAGTAGGGGGTTCGTGCTGGAGAAATGGTGGGGACCTACTGCCGAAAACTTTAGTGGGTCGAATGTAGAGTGATAGTTACCAAACCGTCAACATTTCTCCAGTTCACTGTTTAAATTAACAATATAACTGCACTAGAAATTAAAAACAAGACACGAAGAATAAGCGTGGCACATATTTTTATAGTCAAGTAATCTAAGTTTTGGATTGATTTTTTTTTCGTTCAAATTTCATCAAATCTGTACTGTGGAAGCAAGTGTTTTTCCTGTTTTCGCTGCTGTCCAGGGGTGGCCGTTGGCGTCCACCCTTGGGATTACCACGATACCGTCTGCTGTCCCCAGGTCCGTGAGCGACCACCTGCACGTCAACATGCGACTGCGCACCACGTCGAGCTCGGGGCTGGTGCTCTGGCTGGGCCGCCTGCCCGAGGACGACGACGAGGAGGTGCGGGCCGTCCACCAGCGCCACGGCGTGCACCCCTCCTTCGGCAACGACTTCCTCGCCGTGGCCGTCCAGGACGGGCTGGTGCACCTGCGCCTGGACCTCGGCTCGGGCGAGCTCTTCCTCGGCTACAACCTCACCAGGGTCGACGACGGCCAGTGGCACCGCATCAACATCCACAGGTTAGTGGCGGTGCTCGCGCTGGTCTCCTTTACGACGACGGGATGCTCGTTGACGACGACCTGGTGGTGTTGCAGGCGCGGCCAGGAGGCGACCATCAGCGTCGACAACGGGCCGGCATTCGGCCGCACCGCCCCGGGCCGCCTGCGGCAGCTCAATGCCAACACCGGCCTCTACGTGGGTGAGTAGCTCACCCACCTGCGAGCGCAGCTCGCCTGGGCGGTAGGCCACCAGCGAACGCGGCTGCGCCGGCCCGTCCCCGGTGGCCTACCTGCAGGCGCCCGCCGCCGCCGGCCTCCAGGGCTCCGTAACTTATTACTTAACTGCGTTATAACGAGTAACTTTTACTGTAGTCCTTTGGCAACAAGTTAGTTATTCGACTTGCCCAAATTTTTCTTACAGTATGTACGATTAATATCGGGTATATTTCAAAATCGATAACCTTAACTTTTAATTTGTCATGTTTTTTTTTGTTTACGTTGATTAACATTCGTTCGCGTTGTGATGCGTTACGGAGCCCTTCCTCACGGTGTGGGTGGTGTGTTGCAGGCGGCGTGCCCGACCCGGCGCGACTGACACGCGGGCGCTACGCCTCCGGCATGGTGGGCTGCGTCGCCGACCTGCTGCTGGGCGAGAACCTCGACTTCCACGTACGCCTCGACGCGCCCTCCGGGGAGCCCGTCAACGTGGCCGCGTGTGGCTAGTGAGCTCGCTCCGCCCCGCCGCCCAGCCCCGCCGCCCGCGCGCCGCGAAAACGGTGCAAAACCGTGTGAAAATACATACCGTCCCACACCAGAGCGAATTTGTTTTTCGTAGAGATCGAAACAGAAGTCTGGAATCCGAAACGTTTGCAATTGCGTAAGGACAATACGTAACACCGCGAATTACTGCGCTATGATTTCGCTTATCAATATGAGTCGTTTTTTTTTCTACCCCCTTTATGAATTCTGTTTGGAAGTAAGAAAAAAAAAGCTTCGTTGTCGACGAAAAAGAAAGATGCACTGGAAGGTGGTCGGGCGACTAGGCTCTAAAGTGGCTGCAGGCTCTGCTCTGCCCCACCCCCACCCAGGCCGAATGCCGATGGTGGGTCCTTTTCATAATTCCTCTTCTCCTGGTCTACTTTTTGTCAATTGCAGAAGAAATTAAATGTCCTCGTCCGCCCTAATGAGAAATAGTTGTATATAAGGCATACCGGGATGGCACATTCTTAACTATGCTCCTTAAATGTTTGGGTTTAGCGTTAAGCCCCAGATGCAAGGTATTTTAAAATTCCGTTCTATGCTTCTTTTCTCAACTTGGATGTAAAACTTTTGTCAGAGCCTAATGGCAGGTGGTGAGGAATAGAGATTTGCCTAATAAAGTAAGTTTTTGTGCAGGGGGAGGGGAGGGAGTTGGAGTATAAGGGAGGGGGAGGGCAAAGCTTTCCAATTAAGACTGAAAAAAAAAGTTAAGAAACTCATAAGGGCCATCTCCACTTGTACCTTTGCCGTGAGACAATGGAGAGAGAAGAGAAGTGACCATTGGGATCGCTTTTCGTCAGTCAATTTTGTTACAATTTTCTTTTGTGTGTATAGATGAGATATAGTATGTAAGAGATCTTTTGTTTAAGGCAAGATAAAAGCTCTTAACTTGTGTGAATCATATGTTGGCTGCAGTGGCAACAAAGTGCTATCTCATGCCAATTTAAGGACTCGCAACCTTGAACTTGGGATCATTTTCCTCCAACTTCAGGCTAAGTGGACAAGACTCAAATATTACCGTGAGAATTCCCTGCCCCCAATTATTTCTTGGTAGAGCTGAATCTTTGTTTGGTTGGGACTGCAAAGTATGTATTTGCTTAGTCAATTTTCAAAAGAATCTAGCATATCCTTTGAGGCTCAAACTTGAGCACCCCACAGTATTAGAAAATACGCACATTTTCTCAATGAATGTTGATATTGGTCCATTATTAAATATCATTCCACATCCCTTTAATGTGGCCATATCTTTCGTATCACTTTTCCATTTTTTTCTTTGGTTTATCAATTTTAATTGTTGTGTGCCGATGAGCCCATCATCTCACCCTCATTAGCACATGTTTGACTGACCTAGAAGTATCTGACTTGTTGTTCTTAAGTATCGTAAAAAATGTGATGAAGACCATTCTCTATGTACTCGTTTTGCTTTAATGCAAAATAATAAATAAGCAATTGTAAAATTGAGAATATAGTACAGGAATGATTCTATAGATAGCAAAGCAGAAAGTGCCACAGATTGGCCTTAGTGAATCTGCAGATACGTCCTAGCAGCCAACTGTTTCAGGTGGATATATGGCTCATAAGCCAGTATTAGAATCAAGAGGTTCAGAAACTTGATTTTAACATAGAAATTTGAGTTATGTACCATTAAATTGTAGGCCTCTGGAAGCATTTATTTTCTCTATTTCATATTTTATCATCTCTCATGTCTATATTTAATAAGAGATTAGAAACCATATCCTTCATCAGCTTTCTATCCCACTCAAAATAAGGGGCAATCAGAAAAAAAATTCATAGATGTTTTGATTTCATAGATGAAAAGTGGTGCATTATTGATAGCTGTCTCAAATCATTCAGTGATAAGGGACATAGATGTATTTTAAGGCTTATAATAGTTAGATGCTATGTTAGTTTTGTAACTAAGATAATGTCTTCACTAGTTCTTCAACAGCTGATTGAAATGTAGCAATATTTACATATCATATGAATACTGAAAAAAATCAGTATACTTGATGTCCTGCATGTCCTTCCTGCCTTACTTGCACCCTCACACAAGCAAGTGAGTTGAGCCTTCTGTCAATAATTTGTTGTTACTTGTTGCATATCCAAGCAGTGCTGGAATATCAGCACACATCTAAGAGAATTTAACTCTGTTGCGCTTAAGATGATAAAACCTGTTACTGTACATTATAACCAGTCATGTATAGCACGGCCTACATCAAATAAAGAAGAATCCACAAGTGCGTTCCTTTCCTATTGACTAAATATCCAAAGATGTTGTGCGAATAAGTACTTCATAGATATATTAAGAACAATTGCATCTTTTCTTTGCACCAGCTCTTTCCTACAAGTTCTACACCATAACACAATCCAGTAACAAGTTCATATCAATACAAAAATAGATCATATAAATCTAACACTTCTGATGCCTGGCACAGAACTTATCAAACTTAAAGTAAGTAATATAACAATTAAGTATTTTGGTAAATGAAACTGATCAATAGTGCCAAACAAAGATATGCAAACCACCAAGAAAAAATAAACTAAACAGCCAACATCAGTTGAATGTATATACAATCACAGCAACATTCAAAACCATAACTGTCATGAAATTGAATCCATAGATATTTCATTTCATATCTTAAATTACACAAGTCTTGGACACAAGAAACAAAAATTCTAATTGGCTTATTAAATAAGCTTTCATTACACAGCACAAAAGCATGCTTTCAGTTCAAACATATTCTTGTTTTCTCAGTGCCGAAAATTTATTATTGGTCCAAAGTATAGGTACCTCATCTTCATTGGGATCAGAATCAGAAGAGCTTTCTGGTGCCTTATCCTCATTGGCACTTTCTTCTTGTTTTGCTTTAGTGTGCTGCCCTCTTTCTTTTGAATCATTTTCTTTCTGAGAAGATGTATTTTTGGGAGATGTACAATCAACTGAAGACTTGGGTGCAGAACAGGCAAGTGAAGCATTGCGAAGTCTCTCCAACTACAAAGAAATTGTAGAAGTAAAATTAATTCAAGTGACATTTTGCAGGATAAAAGTAGATGTTTTCACAATCAGTATTTTTATTATCTTACCAAGTCACCCATTCCATTTGTACGCTTTTGGACGATAGCTGTGGCAGACGATAGCAAAACCTTTTCTCTACTTCGATAGTCTTTAAGAGTCAGGCGTTCATTAATATGAAGCGGAGCATGCTCATCTATCAATACAAGCAGAATGCGGGCAATGTTTTTAGCATCGTCTAGACCACAGTGAGGCCTTCCTTCAAACTCCATGCCAAGGGTTTCTAACATGCCTTTCAAGTTGTAATGCTGGAGAGGGCATTAAAATTTTACTTAAAGTCAGAAATCAGTTGGCAAGAAGAAAATTGTCCAAATGACACATTGATTTAAATAAACATACCATTCTCTTCTTGTAATAATTTCGAAATGATTTACGAATGTTAAGCCATCTCTTGGCCCATGTTGGGTACGTCACTCCAGCAACCTGATGCATGAATATCAAAATTAATTCACATGGTACAGTATTGTAATTGCTTAAATACAGCAAATAGTATCATAACATTTTCAAGGTCGGATTTGGTTCTAAAAATTGATTTCTTTTAACTAGTTACATGAGGTACTTACTTTACACTGACCATGGAAAAACTGAGCCATGTCCCAAGGGCCATCAGTTACCAAAATACATTTGTGAGAGGAATGTAGGCCATGACTTGACATCCATTCCTCAAACTTCCGTAACACTGTTTCAAAGGTGTCTGCAGCATCAACTGTTGCCTACAAAACAGATAAATAGAGAAAAGTTGCAGGATTTCTGAAAATATGTATGCACCAGCAAAATCTATTCCATTTGAACACAAATTTTTAATGATGAGTTTGCAATATATAAGTACATACTTGTGTTATACCAGTTAACTGAATACAGAAATCTGATAATGTTGGATTGATTTCTGGTCTAACATACGACTGAAAAGTATCAATGATAGCTTTGTCTTTAGAGCTGACAAGAACAGCCGGAAACTCAATAATTTCATGTCTGAAAAAAATAAATGCCTAGATGATGAGAGTAGTAAGAAGCATATAACACGATTAGTAAGAATTTATACTAACGGGTAATCAGGTGCATTAACTGTGTTACAAGTTGCTTCAAAATCAACAACTAAATAATAGGGTGCAAATTTAACTGATGGTAAAACGTTGACAGACGATAGCTTTTGCACTCTGTAATGGTTTTTGAGCCGTTTTACCAAGACATCGCGACTTCCCCCAGTATGCAGGTTGTTTTCTTTCAGATTGGCAACAAGCTCTCCTCTTGACATCTGGTGCACTTTACCGAAAAGTAAAGTAAGTGATCTGACGAGATCCCTCTTCTCATCGTCTGGTAAGTCACTTTGCGCGAGGTCATGGTACTGGAATAAGAGACACAGCACGGGTGTAATTAAAATGCTGTTATCTCATACAAGTGCAAATAAACTTAATGTTTGGTTGTTTTCCTTCACTTGACCTTTTCTGACATTTATAGTGAAGAATGAAATATGAAGTACGGTACATGTAGATATATTAAAATGCAGCTTACCCAGGTACTTGAATTAGGGCCCTCCATAATAACAGGTTTTTTAAAAAGGCATGCGTAAAATTGAACGTAAAAATTAAAGACATCAATCAGAAAGAATTTATTTCAGTTGTAAATGGCGCGGCAGATTTTCAAGTTTTTTCTAAAATCGGTTGACAGGTAGCAGAACAACCCCGACGAATAATGAAGATTTCGATAGAAGTTGGAGCATCGGGTGTTGATGTTGATCATAATACTTTTGGCTGCAATCTGCCGTCAAAGTAGCCCACAGTCGAAAAAATAGAAAACAAAACTGTTTTTGATTGAGAGACTTATGCCCTTGGAGGTCTAGATTGCCATGCACAGGTTATGATTATTTGCATGACGATTGACGATGTTGGGGGGAGGGAGCAGATGGCCGTTGGAGTTGGTTCCAGTCACGCACGTACATGTGTTCGGAAACGTTCGGTTCTCGCTTCGGCTTCCCTTCGGATCTTCGTCTGCTGGTCTGCTTCGAACCGTGGTGCGTACTTCGCAGTAGACACTCAATTATTTACCATTCCCACAATGGCGATGTGTTCCCACCAGCTTTTTGATTGAAAACACCAATGGTGTCTTGCTATCAGCTGACGCATACATGCCAAAAAGAGAAAACGCGCGTCTTATCAGCCTTACGCACCATGTCAAACTCCTTGCTTTGACAGGTTCCTCTCGTAAGTCCCTTGACTCGCTGCGAATTGTATTTTGTATGTGTGCGCTGTAGCTATAGCCTACCTTCTGGTATAGGTGTGTCTGATACTTGTGGTGTAATCATTTTGGTTTAATAATAAAAACACAAGCTGGGGTGGCAATGTCTACAATTGGAACGTCATTCATTTACCTCGAAGCCAAGTAGACCTGTCTTCTAAAGTTACATGTTGGCTTGTTTGTCTGCTGACTGACACTGTCATTATTTTGAGACTGGCTTCAGTCCTTGTTTACAATTTTAGTAATAATGTGTTTTTATTCTTCTTTTTTTATTTTTCGTTTATTTTATTGTTAACTTTTGTAATATTTGTATGCCTTGAGGTAATGTTCAACTACACAATCACTAATGATCAAGAAAGGTTAAACCACCTGCTAAATTGTTTTCAGGAGTAAAAGTTGAAGATCACAATTCATAATCATGGAGGAGTACGAACTGATGAAAGACTCAAAATACAGGGTGTAAGTTGCTGCATATAATTAATAACATGTATGCCTTTAATTTTTAAATGTTCTGTTTGATGTAGGACAGTTGTATCTTGTTGATAGGTATGTCTCTGCTGTAGACAAAGCCCTGAAGAATTTTGAATACACAAGTGAATGGGCTGATCTTATATCCGCTCTTGGAAAGTTAAACAAGGTAGGTTAATTAAGTGTTACTATACATGTACTGGCTATCGTATAGTTTTTGAACTATATCTTTTGATTTGTACATTCAGGTGCTTTCAAGTCATATGAAATATCAAGTTATTCCAAGACGCATAAAGATTAGTAAACGTTTGGCCCAGTGCATGCATCCAGCTTTGCCATCTGGAGTACATTTGAAAGCTTTAGAAACATATGACATCATTTTCAAGTCTATGGGAACTAGCAGACTGAGCCATGAATTGTTTATTTACAGTGCAGGCAAGTCTAAATATTATACTGTTCTTCTTGTTGCTACAAGCTTTGCTGTCTCAAATTTCATTTTTTTTAATCTATTTTTTTTTTTTTTTTGTTATTTTAGGTCTATTCCCATTGCTTGGACACGCAGCAATGAACGTGAGGCCATCTTTGCTCACTGTCTATGAAACTCATTTTGTACCACTCGGAGAGAGATTGTGTCCTGCTCTCAGTGGCTTTCTGAGTGGTGTTCTTCCAGGCTTAGAGGAAGGATCAGATCACTTTGACAGAACCAACAGTCTCTTAGAAAAAGTTTGTGATGGTGTTGGTGCTGCTCATTTTTATACTTGCCTGTGGGACTGCCTATCAAGTAACTCAATCATAAGACTCCCAGCAATTTGTTTCATCCTGGCCCACTTCAATAGAAAGCTCAGTACAGAAGATCAGCTTCACATAATGGGTACTGATATAGAAGTTATGGTCCAAGGGCTTTGCACTGCAGTGCAGGACTCCAGTGTCCTTGTACAGAGAAGTGCCCTTGATCTCCTCCTCGTGGGGTTTCCCCTTCACAACAGCCAATTAGTCAGATCAGATATGGTACGTCTGGTCACTGCATCGCTGAATACTATCCTACGCCGTGACATGTCTCTGAATAGGTATAGATAAATTTTTAATTTTGTCTTTATCTTTGCACCACAATTTTGTCAATCATGCCCATTGAATATTCTTTTTGTAGGCGGTTATTTGCATGGCTCCTTGGATCTGAAGTAAATTTCTCTCTTTTGAGTCCTGATCATCCTTTGATCAAATCCCCTTCAGTGTCATATTTTCAACTCTTTTCTCAAGAAATGTTGGTACAGGTAACAGTATTTTATTATCTATACAATTTTTATTATCTCTCTTATCACGTAAGTGCCCTTTCCTGAAACTCTACCTTTACTTCCTCACCCTTTTCAGGCTATTCGCACATCTCTAAATCAAGTTTTGGCAGAAGCTAATCATGACCTCAAGCCTTTCCGAATTTTAGTGTCTCTGCTAGATAAACCTGAGATTGGGCCAATGATTCTCGACTTCATTTTGTATGAAGTTTTCAGGTAAATCTGCCATTTATCCAAATATTTGATCAAAGAAATTTATTATTATTTCAATTTAATTCTTTTGGTGAATTTTGTTGTTGTAGGACGTTGTATCTAGCATCAGCCGAAAAACAGGGTGCTGAAGGAAGAATGAAGGATCTCCATCGAAACCTGTAGGCATACTTTTGTATCTTTTATTATTATTATGCTGTATCTTATTTTTTGGTTTTTTTGTATTATCGCATCTAAATCAAAACAATTTTTGTCCCTCCCTTAAATGCAGAACTCAACCCACAAATAACCAAGAGCTCTTTAAATCAGTTAATCTGCTCTTCAGCTCTTTGGAACCAGCATACATATGGCAATATGCGGGCTCCCTTATTGAAAAAGCTTGTATCATGCATCATGATTCAATGTTGACTGGTCAAGATATTCATGAGAATGTTGAGTCTGTTAGACCAGTTGGCTCAGGTCAACCTTGTCTTGTTGAGGTGTGTTAATAGACCCATAGTCTGTCAACTAAATGTAAACTGTAACTTACTTGTCTATGTAAATGTGTGGTAAAATCTCTGTCTTTTCTTACAGGTCTGCCAACTAATAAGTTGTTTATTGGACGCTGTTCCTTTAGAATCATACATTGACACAACATTAGAGCATTTACCAAATTTATTTTTGCTCATTGTAAATCAAATGGTTTTACCTGATATTCTTTACACTCCCCATCAGTTGGTTACGTGCCTCCAGCTCTGCTCCAAAGTTTTGTCTCGAGTCCAGCCTCAGCCAACAACCTCTAAATGTAACGGTTTTACTGATTCAGTACGCCCACGGGCTAAAACTGTATCATTCAGTCAAAGACGAAATAGTGATAGCAGTCAAACCCTAATTCTGGAGGGTAATGTGGACCGGCTGAAGGATCTGTCTCTCAGCGATCATCATTTAGAGTCGGATGTCAACCTAAAAATGGAAATGTCGACTCGAAGCATCAGTGTCGGAGCCCGACTGGAAGCAGAGCAATCTACTAGCGATGACATTTGTAACATTAAAAAAATGACTGACTGCACAGCTGAGCCGAAAATTGACAGTCAATGCTTTACACCCAATCTTATTCTGGATGAATGTCGTAAGCGATATGAAGAGCTGTTTGTTCTGTTAGTTTCAAGCAACAGAATAATAAACTGGCAATCTCATGAGTTCTCAAAACTCTTTGAATGTTTAATGATTGCATCATGTTCTGAAGTAGAAAGAAATGATACCTCTGGCCTAGAAATATTATTGAAAGCTTGTATTACAAATACTGAGCCAGAGTTTGATACAAACCAAGCTCTACTGAAGAACCCAATTAAAATACCTAAATCCAATTGTTGGAGGGAAACAGGAGTATTGGACATGTCAGTACAGCTTGAAGCTCAGTCAACAGAGTGGGAGGATGTGTTTTGTGCTGCCTGCACTCTTCTCGTTGATTTGTCTACATTTCCATCTTATTGCCAGCCACTTGAAACATTTCCACAACCGACACCAACTGAAATGCCACCCTGGTTGCAACTGCTCACAGTTTGTTGCTGCTGGCTTGGCCAGTCACCCTCAATGCAGCTTGCTGCTATTTCAACTTTGTTAGACCTGATTGCTGTAACATCCAAAAATATTCCTCATCAGATTTCAAGCTCTGAAAACAGTGTAGTAACTCCTGTTGTATTGACACCTTTACTTATGCAAAATGAAGTACAAACTTTGGAGAACTGCACATGTGCCATGCAGGTGTGTCCATGATTTGACTGAAATTTTTGATTTTAAGCTGGCCCTATGATTTGCATGCCACAATTTTTTTCCACCTAATTATTTTACATTAAAAGGTCTTTTTTTTATTTTTCAGGTGATAGCACACTGGTTATGGCGTCATTTGAGCAATGGTGGGGCTCTTGAGGCTCGCTCTGTTGCACTCCTGCAGCAGCTGCACGACACAGTGATTACAGACGATATTGTGGAAGCAACAATTGGAGAGTTCATCAGTCAGGAAGATGATGAAGCTCAGTTAAGAGGATTTCAAACTTTTGCTACATTTTGGCATGCTTCAAGAGTAATGTGTAATAAGAGCAAACGGCCATTTTTAAAGTGAGACCTGAGACTAGAGTCCTAAAATTTATCTGTCTGTTTTTTTACAACTCCAACTAGAACATACCAAATCATTTATTTGTAATTTTTCCTTTCCCAGGTCACTTTTGAGAATGCTTGATAATCTTGCCCTTCCTGACAGTAGTCCATTAAAGCTCACAGCTCAGAGTTGGCTTCTTCACACTCTAATGCGAGGCGATGTTCCTCGTCTTCTGGATCCATTACTTCTACCTCTACTTGCACCCACAACAGCTCGGGTTTCAGTGCTCCGTGTATCAATACAGCATAGAAGTACTGTGCTGCCCAATGAAGCTGATAAAGCAGAGTCAAGAATTTTTGCTATCAGTTCTGAAGATGGCAATGTTATCTACCATGTTACTCCAGTGCAGTCTTCAGGTTCGTTGCAAGAGTTCAATTTTTAGAAGGCGGCCATCGTATGTTTTTAACAAATTGTTTCTAGTCTAAGATAAAAACCCTTTTTTGTTTCATCATGAAACAGATCAGAAGCAAAGTGATTCAGTCAGAGCAAGACGAATTTTTACAGTTGCAACACTAGTAAGGCACTGCACCTATGAAAGGGATGTGGCGAGCTTTGAGTACTGTCCTTCAAGTCTTATGTCTTGGGCAATACCATCTGCTCTTACTGGAAACTACACTGTGACCAGCAATGATGGTGATAGCTCCACGAGCATTAGCAGCTCTTGCTCGAGCTCTTTAGTGACTGCAAGTGCAGGTCCCCAGTCAATCCCAGCGGAGA